ATAAGGTACATGAGGGTATTAAGGCCTAGCTAAGGGAAATCTGTTGTAAAATAAATACTGATAATAGAATCAACAAGTTTTTTTAGGTAATCAGTCGTTTATTTATCCAACTACAAAATTAAAACAAAAAATAGCAACTTCTGCATGATACTTAAACAGAATTGAACGTTTTCTAAAACTCTCTTATTAGGCCTTGTTATAATTAGGTAGGGTAACAAGGCCTGCTTCTTAAACCATGCAATTAATCAACTAAAACCACATAATTTGGTACTTGAGACCAATCATCATCCAGTTAATGGCAGAATAATACTTTATCATCTTAAGAATTAAATGAGTAGCCTCATCTAACAACCACCAGGGCATTTTTTTAAAGGGGGGAAAATCATCGAATGACTTTCCCGCCTGAGTGAGGCGGGAGGGAGTTTCAGACTACTGACTAAAAATCATCTCTTACTGACTAAAAATCATCCCGTTCCTACTCCTGCCCTTCGAGCTGGAGCCCCGGTAACCCGTTAAGCTCTCTGCGGCTCCGCATCAGTCCTATTGGGCCTCATCCGTGGTGGTTGGATGGCTCTTTGAGACGCGGAACGCGAAGCGCCGCATGCTCAGGTCTAGTTCTGGTCGGGCGGCGAGCTACCCATGCTGGCTGTCAGCAGGCCCGTGCTTACGGTGGCCGGAGATCGTCCTGCGATCCCCGATGCCCGGAGTGTCCTTCGTGGCGGCTGGGCTATGAGGAGGCACACGCCCCGCCTCCTTCTTAGCTAGCTGGACTGCTTCGCAAAAGGAGTAGACCGCACGACCCCGGCATATAACCTCCGGCAGGAGACGTTTGACCCCCCGGGGTTGGGTAGGAGGCGCTTAAGCGCAGCCCCCGTCCTTTCCGACTTAGGAACCAAACGTCATAAATACATCCACCAGGGCATACGAAGTCATCATACCATCATAGTCCGATAACTGATTATGGTCTTCACAGGATCAGCTTCTTGTTCTGAATTCATTATAGGCTTATGACCCAAACTTTTTACCAAAATATCACTTTGGAGATGGTTTCTTATTGTTCTCCTAGGAATTTTGTATCGTTCTGCAGCCGCATACGCAGGTACTCATGATTCCTCTCTGTACTGCGCATACAGCTGAGACCAAATGATCTTCTGACCACAATGCTGGTTTTAGGAGGCATCGTGAACATAGTAACTGTGAACAATGTATGATTTACTGAAATAGTTTGAAAATAGTGCAAATATTAAAACATACCTATCTATAAGTATAATAAGGCCTACTACAAAATTTTACAGGCCTTATTACACATAGGTAAGGTAATTATGGAAAACGAAATAAATACAATTTGGACTGTAGAACGTTAATGAATAAGGCAATGTAGGACGAGCATAAGTTAACGATAATATAGACAGTAAGTGCAAGGAGATAACTGTAATAATTTAAGAAATACTTACGTTTTACCGGAGCCAATATTTGTAAAAACGTGACGTGCGGCTACTCTTGATTACGTTTAACACACCATTAGCAAAAGCGAGTGAGATAGCCAACGTTTGCCGCCTGGTGGCGCCTTGTAAGTTGTACGTGGAATATACATGTCTGTGCTTGAACTTGAGCGCGAAATCGTATTCTAAGTAAGATTTTTGATTTTTAGGCCTTATTAGCCGACAGGCCTTAATACCCACATGTACCTTAGTTAATTTAATACGTAGGTATACTGTGTAGGTACTTTATGTGGTCGTAGTGGGTCGGAGGTTTAAGAGGCCACCTTCTCATGCTTGAGGGCGCGGGTGAGAAACCTAGGCAAGTCCCAGTGTGAATTTTCCTGAGTTATTTATACTTACACCTACTGAAATTGTTTAGACACCACTAACAAACGATTAAGGTAAACATCGTGAAGAATCCTGGGCTTCTAATTTCTAATTTTCTATAAGTTTGAAATCGCCAACCCGCATTGAGCAAGCGTGGTGATGCTCAAACATTATCCATGTGGGAGGAAGCCCCGGCAGTGGCCGCTATAGGCTGTTGTTGTGTGATGTACTTTATCTACCTACATGACATGATGTTTTCTGGTGTATCTACAATTCTACATTTTACGTATGAATATTTAAATTTTGTTTTTTTAAGTAACAGGTCTTATGACTTTAAAACGACGCCAGCACCATCTGCCTGATTTCTTTCTTTCGTTTATTCCCAATTATCACCACTGTCTTTGTCACCACTGATTATTTATTAATGGGAAAAACTATCCCAACTGATACCAATTACTGAGAATAGACGTTTTTATGAATTCTGCTGTAAAAACTCATTAATTCTTTAGTACTCCCAAATCGATTAGTACAGTCCCCAAGTATCTTCAAATAGGTATTTTGGGTTTTTTAGGAAGGTAATAAAAATCATATTCAGACTGACAAAATAGTATATTTTCTCTTATCATCTAAGATGGGCCATTTCCTTAAAAATCTAGTGTGGCCATTTTTCTATTTATTTTCTTATAAACTAGTGTGTCCATGTGTTTCTTAATGTTACAATAATTAACTTAGATCTAAGCTTAAACAGATATTACTTTTAATTTTAATTAGTCTTATATTAGGTACTAAGGTTATAGCGATAGCCTAGCCATAATCTAAGGATTACCAAAAAGGTACAATTAGCTAGGGTTACCTGTGCGAAAAAAAAAATTTTGTACAAAAGAAATCACAAATGAAAATTATACATGAATTTTGAAAATACCAGAAATAATTTGGTGTTAAAAAAAAACTAAGTTTTATTCTTGAACCCATAGCTTAATTGTATTGAAATAAATTACAAAATGGCTTCCAGACCTAAAATAATGTTTTTTACTGGAATGTAATATTACAGTTGAGATAAAATTATTTTAATAAAAAGCGTTTCACAAGAGATCCGAATTAGACAAGAAATTTTTAGATAATTAGGCTTTTTAGTACTTTAGAGGACAGTATCAACAACTGCGTGTTATTTTCTTTACAAATAAAATATTAAATTAAATTGTTTGAAAAATCTTTTAGATCAAACTAAAACTAATTTGCGTTACACTGACAGCTAATACATAGAAACACACAAAAGACGAAAAACAAAAACTTAAATGTATATTTATAGAGATAAATATAATAATATATAACTAACATACAGCTTTAGCCGTGTTTACGTTGATATACTTTGCAAAATGGAAATGTACATTAAACCATATTATTTTAAACGCAAAGTAATCATAACACTTTGGTGTAACTCCAGCTTAACGAAAACATAAGAATTTTAGATTAAATATCAAATAAATTTTAATAAAACATCCATTTCTATGTACAAAGCTAGGCAGTATGTACAGATTTGTATTCAACAAAAAAAAAACATAAATTATTTTCGTAAAAACAGAAAATATATACAAAGATCTGCCGATATAACAAAGCTAGTCTTGTTTCAAAGATTTGAGATTGAAGACAGAAGGATAGATAAAAAGAAAAGGAGTCCAAAGCATTTTTCAAAGAGCCTTCGATTAATATCGGTTAAGGCAAACAAAAATGCGTTTTGGATGTGTTTGGAAAGTTCTACCTACACACTATTTTTGCAGTCGACTATAAAAACGTGTGTATTATACAAGATTTCCATTTTATTAGGACGACCAGAATTTAGAACCTTTTTAAACTATCTATACTATCTAGACTTATGATATAGGATGTCTATGCGAAGTACTTAGCAAAACTATTTCGAACTAATCGTTAGTTTCATTACTATAGTGCCAAAATTGAACTCAAAAACTACATATTTGTTTACTTGTTAGTAGAAGCGCAAGCTGGTTCTTAATGGCCCTATTTGGGTTTATTAGTTCATTGTTAGTAGGGACCGCTAGAGTGCATTTGAGGTGCTAATTGATACTCTTCATATAAGAGCAATTACTATTGGCCTTTTTATATCTACTACAGATATTATGTAATCTGTAAACCAGGCCATAATTATTATTAGACCAAACTAAATTCTAGGACACCCTAAAAAAACATCTGCAAATTGTGTTAATAGATAAACATAGCTCAATATGGCACAGAAAAACAAGAAACATTAAAGTAAAGGAAATATGTACACTATAGCTAAGAGATTAGAGTTCTAAATACTTTGAAACTAACTTAGCTTGTTACGTTCTTCTGCCGGCATTGAAACTCAAGAGATCTTTAGTGAAAGGATAACAATTGCGTATGCGCATCCTACAACTAAATATTTACAAAATATGTACAAGTTATTAAACTAAGTATAAAAGTATTTACATTTATATCTATGACTTCAAGTTACTTAATAGTAGATAATGACTATATGTATAATACACATTATGTGTTAATAGCTTATTTTAACTTGGGTTCAGACTGAAGTTAGAACTAAGTTAAATTTAACCCTAAGCTTCATCCTAGCCCTATATCCACTATATCTTTTTCGCTGTAATTCTATTCAAAATTTGAACATTACAAAAATATTTATTTAAGGTAAAACTATATAATAAAACCTTAAGTGAAAGTTACCCGAAATTTTTTGCACCAAAATTGTATAAAAAATTGAACCAAACTGATTAAAACATTTAAACCTGCATACTAATTCAAATTGTGGCATCTGTCATATCTACGGGTTTTGTCTATTAAAAACTATATATAAACTACACTAAACAGCTACAATCTTGCTGGGATCTACCTTCACCCTTAAGAACATCACATCGTCCTTGATGAAGTTTCTCTTCTTGAGCATTTCGTGGGAAACAAACCTTGGGAACCCAAAGCCTAACGCATCAGGTTCCTTTGAAGGTCTTTGGAAGTTCTTCCACGTGGGGTCTGGAACAAAGCTCTCCACAATGTTGCAGGCTCTGTCTGGGCTTGAACTCTGGTCAAAGAGGGTGAAGGAGACCGTGTGAGCGAAAGGCCAGCGGAGAAGTGCGTCATATTCTCCAGGAAGGATCTTAATGTAGACTGACATGTGGGTAGCTTCGCCAGCTCCATTGCCGTTGAGGAATAGTGATGCCTGGAATGAAGAAAATACGACATAAGTTTGCTTCGAAGAAAATAAAAAACTATAGACAATAGTAATTATTTTAACTTAGAAGATGACAAGATGAGAAAGTCCCTAACGAAAAAATGTCTTCACAAAAATAATACTACCACCCAAGTCAATCAAAACTAAAACTTAAGAAGAAGAAAAGAAAAAATAAATTAATTAACAAATGTCACAGTTTACAAAAAGGAACAACTATGATTTATTACACTCGAAATATTACATTACACACTGAATGAGCAAGTATCTAATTTAGTCTCCGTGGGGACGCGAGTTTAGTCATCATTGACTCATACAAATATAGCGGCGTGGCTTTGTTTACCAACAAATATGATGCATACGGCGCTACCGGAAGAATTTAGGATGGTAACACGATTTCAGTAACATTGAAAATAACCTTGCGTTTGCCAATTTGCATCTTAACTGTATTTGCAATGCCTATAACCAAAAATCAGAATCTAGATATTTTTCTGATTGCGACGTACTAACAACCAGACCTGGGAATTTGGCATGCATTCTAATGTGGGTAGTTAGAAATTAGTGAAGCGTGAAAGTAGAGCAAACATATTTTTTCACAAATTCAAACATTTTTGGAAATCATGACTAATACTTCGGTGGAATTCCGAGGCATTTTCCACAAACACTTTTAGAAAATTCACTTCAACTATCTTTGAACAACTTCTGAAAGTATTATGGGTCAAATTTTGCTAAAAGCTCACCTGCAACTTATATCCGTATTGGCTGGTGTAAAACGCAGGGGACACAAGCTCGACACCATCTTTGCACTTTGCTTCAGCCATTTTGGCAGCCCAGTCGCTGATGCGCCATACAAGTGCACCAGAACAGTTGACTGACAATCTTGCTACTGCTGCTCGCAAGGAGTCTAGTTGTCGCGCTTGACGGCTGGCGAGGGCTGACACGAGGGCTAGATGCTGCTGGCAACTTTCTTCTGTATGTTTTTCTAGAGCTTGTCTTGTTCCCTGTAATTTAAATCGAAGGTTAAGAGTTTGAAGACAAAATGTTTGGTCTTACTCACCGCTAAGAAAACTTTTAGGGCTTACAAGTAAAATGTTTTGAAAGATGTCAGACCTTTTGTTGTCTAGTCAAAAAATTTCTTACCTTAAATCTGCACCCAGCATCTCTAAACGAGCAAGGTAAGGCAGCTGCTGCAGCAGCCGCGGCGTGATCCCTCAAGTGAGCGGCTAGGTCGGCGCGGGGCACGCCACTGGCTCCACAACGTTGAGGACATGCTACAGGGGCGCGGGCGCATGACGCTCCGTGAGCTGATACTGTGTCCTGGAGAAGAATCGAGAAGACGTTTTAGTTGTGGCAAGGAAAAAGAAATATTTGGCTAGGCAATATAATGTTTAGGGCTGTAATATAATGTCTAGGCGACAGAGGGAGGTATATAGGACGCTACGCGATCTGGACGTGAACAAGGCCAGTGGTCCCGACGGAATCCCAGCCCTGGTTTTAAAAACCTGTGCGCCTGAGTTGTCTCCAATCTTGACACGTCTGTTTCGCCTTTCCTTGGAGACGGGTCTAGTACCGGTTGCATGGAAGCTGGCCAACGTACAGCCTGTGCCTAAAAAAGGTAGTCGTGCCGACCCTAACAATTACCGCCCTATTTCGGTCACGTCCATACTCTGCAAGAGCATGGAACGTGTTCTTAACAATAGACTCCTGGCATACCTTGAAGGTAACGATCTCCTCAGCGATCGGCAATACGGGTTTCGGCGTAACCGATCGACTGGGGACCTTCTTGCGTATGCCACTCACATATGGAGCGAGGCCATAGAGGGGCACGGAGAGGCACTAGCAGTCTCCCTCGATATTTCGAAGGCCTTTGACAGGGTATGGCACGACAGTCTAATCGGCAAGCTTCCTGCATATGGACTTCCTACTGGTCTGTGCATATGGATAGCAGACTTTCTGAGGGATCGGTCAATACGAGTAGTCATCGATGGCTGCTCGTCTGACCAATTCGGTATTAATGCCGGCGTCCCTCAGGGGTCAGTACTTTCAGCGACGCTCTTTTTGCTGCACATAAACGACCTGCTTAAGCCCGGTATCTTTGGGTATGCAGATGACAGCACAGTTGTTGAAAGGTATGTGTCCGGTGCGCGGACTAGCGGAACACAGATCCAGTCTTTAAGAGAATCCATGGTCGAACGTTTGAACTCGACCTTGAAGGCGGTGTCCGACTGGGGTGACGCCAACTTGGTTAGGTTCAATGCTAGCAAGACCCAGGCGTGTCTATTCTCCGCCAAACGGAGTCAATTTCCGCTGACTCCTACTTTCCGGAATGTATCCGTACCGATAACCGATCGTCTTGAGCTTCTTGGTGTAACTCTGACGCCCACGCTCAACTTTGGCTCATATATAGAGTCAAAAGCGCAACTGGCTGGTAGGAAGTTGGGTGTCCTATGGAGGGTGAGACGGTACTTCACGCCGAGACAATTGCTGAGCCTGTACCAAGCACAGGTTCGGTCCTGTATGGAGTACTGCTCTCATCTTTGGGACGGCTCGGCTAAATATCAGCTGGACGCGTTAGAGCACATTGAGAGGCGTGCCAGGAGGCTCATCGACGATGATGCGCTTGTAAAGGCTCGGCTTCAAAGCCTCGAACACAGGCGTAAGGTTGCAAGCCTTTCGGTTTTCTACCGGATACATTTCGGGGAGTGTGCGGGGGAATTGCACAACTTAATTCCCCCTAGTCCTTTCCATCATCGTACCACAAGACAATCCGCGAAGCGTCACCGATTCATGGTAGATGTTCCGCCCACACGCACGAAGCGCTTCGCTTCAAGCTTCCTTGTGCGTACTGCTAAAGAGTGGAATTCTTTGCCAGAGTCTGTATTTCCTGAAGGGTATAACCTGGGAGTCTTCAAGGCCCGAGTGAATAGGTTGCTTATGGGACGACGTGCTCCAACGTAGACCGCATCATCGCTTACCATCAGGTGAGATAGTGGTCAAACGTCGCCCCATCAATTATAAAAAAAAAAAAAAAAAAAAAATGTTTACGTTGGTTGCCTGTAGATAGATTATCGTCTGATAACTTTTAAGTGTTGCACTTAATAATTCTATTGTGGACATTTCGAGGGTTCATTAGGTAGTGATGTTTACCTGTGTATAACTCTGCCCGCAGTGTTTACAAGGCACTAGTCGTTTACTGCAATGCTGTTGGATGTGCTGCTGTGTGTGTCTACGCTGGACCTTAGCTCCACACTTGTTTTCACAGTAAACTGGCTCGTGACCACAGTTTCCTTGATGTTCCTGGAAATGGAGTTTATAGTTTGTTAGATGATACATAGATAAACATTTTCTTTCACTTAAAGTTTTGATTGAAGCTACAAGAGTTTTTCAAGCTAGCTTCAAGTGAAAAGTTGTCTTCAGCTTTGGTCATACTCTGATCATTGTTCTGAAATATTTTGCTATTCCTAAGAAACTAGTAGGTCAATAAGTGTATCCTTACCTCTAAGGCGCTCCCTGAAAATTCCTTGTGACAATGCTCGCAGTTGGCGCGGCGGCGAGGGCAGGTGTAGCGCAAGTGATCTTGCATCAACACGCGCGGGATCATCGCACCGCACTGTGCCGCGCAGAGCACCGCATCGTGCTTGCACGTGTTCAAATGCGCCTGCGTATAATAAAACACATTTTAAAATGGATGTTGAATCGGGTGTAAAGATAAAATAGGTCGCCTTTGATCGTTAAATCTACACTCGGGATTCGTACGAGAGCTAGCTATTAAACAGTGTTTTTGTACCAAAGTGTACAAGATATTGGTATTTAAGTCGTTCATTTTTATTATTGCATTAGAATAATTGCAACTAACTTTTTTCCTTGTTGTTTATTATTGTTACTGTTTGTAGCACTAATTGAACTGTTATTAATTATGAAATATGTATACCTACTGCTTTAGTTAGTGTGAATCTAGCGTGATATTTTTTATTAAATTTTAAGAATTACATTAACTAGTAATTTATTTTTACTCACGCGAACACGGTACAAATTATCGTGTTCACGCTAAATAAACATAGAGGCAATTAATTTTGAAAACCAACCCGCACTTGTCATAAACTAAAGACTATTGTCGGCCAGATAAAATAAATGTGTCGTGACATGACAGGCGCACTAGAAGTGATAGATCGATCGAACTATTTACCTACTTAACTTTATCTTAGCAAATATTTAGCTTTCCCACTCACCTTCAATTTGCGTAGCTCGTCCGACCATTGGCATCCTTCCTTATGGTGGATACAGTACACCACCGATCCCATAATAGCCTTCTCAGACTCGGGATCTGGATATATCTGAAACAAAAAGAAAAATATTTAAAATCATATTCCAATTAAACACGCATATGCTCTTATAAACATAAAGACCTTTTTGATCTTAGAAATAATGTATTTCAGCATTTTGCTGGATAGTTTCAACAGAAAACACGACGTCAAAAGCAACGGCTACCGTTGAGACTGATTGAGGCGCTTGCCACGCTCGCATAACGGATTAAATAGGACAACGCGATTAAAAATAAACCACATTTCAAAGAGAATATCAAACGGGCGCTGTATACACACCGTACTCTCGAATATGGAACACATCGTACGGAAATATGCAAAATGGCCGACTGTTTTTCGCGCGTAATTTATTCAAAGTAAAGGCGCGGGTGCGTTCACCGCAAACGACTGATACGTAGTGAATGCGTTCCCGTTTGTACATTTTCGTTATCTTTATGGGTGCAACGAACAGATGGCTCGAGCCACGGACCACCGTTCCCTATGTTTGTGCCGCGATAAGCGTGATTTTTCACTTCCCAAACCAGCTGGGTAATGGAATGAGCAAATATGCGCCTTAGATGCCTTTGAACAGGTTACTTTCACATGTCATAGCTAATTTGTCTATGAAACCGACTCGGCGAAGACTGAAAAACTAGTTTGTTGACTGACGCCGGTATAAAATAAGAAATACATTTCGAATGCTAAATGTTGTTAGTAAACAAAGGCAAGTTTGAATATTTGCTCAGGAGATGTCGCTAGACGTTGCACGGTTCTTAATACGCTACTTGAAACGTAAAGCCAAGTGTCTGCGAAGCTTCAAAATACACTGAAAGTTCCCTGTTCATCTTAAACTTTCTTCTGAATAAAACAGGCGATGGACAGCGATCGTTTCAAAACTGAGAGATCAAAGCCGTTTCATAGTACGCTGTGTTTCTATTTACAAACATTGATGCATGTGGTCATCGGCATGGCTGCTGCGTAACCGTACCACCTTAGCATATTCTATTCAAGTAGAACGAAGTACCTTATACTGTCTATTACTGCCACTTAACTATGAGTTTTGTCCCAAAAGGATAAGGATGAGATTCCTGAATCATTTCTCAAAGTCCTAGGTGCTCTCGAAGCTGGTGGTGTATAAATTTACAAATATAGAATGTTATTTGTGTCGTATTCTAAAAAGATGGACCGCGATGTGTTGAGCTCTCCCGCATCGCTCAATTATAGAACTCGTTGTATCGTAAACATAGTAGGAACGAAACGTAACAGGTTGCTGAAGTGGCGCGGTGGTTGTGATGTTTTGGCGCGGGAACACCTCACAGAAAAAGGATAGATAGAAAATGAGGATGTTACGCTGCCATTTGTAAAATATCACCAGCCGAGGTGACATTAGACAGCTAGATAATATAATATGTAGGTTATAGCGTTACTTAAAACATTTTTAACTTTCAGATAATATTTATGACACTTTAAATCTTGCTGTCAAATAGCGTTTTGTATTTGATACAGACTATCCGCTACTTAAGACATCTACCACTTGTATTTCCTTATTGAGCCTATTTTAACGATGTTTGTACAGTAATATTGGTGATCATTAGGAATGTGATTAATCAGTTATTTGACATAATGCATGCAAATGATTGCCGACAAAAAGGTTACGAAATACACAGAGATAACAAGAACCTTATTTGGCAACAAGACCTTATCCTCCTACGTGCAATGTGTGTATTAAAACAATTTAATTTCGTTTTATAATTAATGAAATTTACGCGTTACTCTCAAGGGTATCAACAATAAAATAAAAACATTTAAACTAAGGTTACGAACATAAGATTTAACGACCACGGTTTTAGTTTATAAAACCCAATAATCATAAATTCATAACATAACGCATCTACTTTTGGTGTAGGAAGACAGAAATAGGTTTAGAATCTTTTTTCAGTTGTTCAGTCGTGCGTTATCTATTTCGAAGATTTACTATTTCCTTAAAACATTTGTGAATCATCCTTTACCTGTCGCACTGAGTTCGCAGATGGCATGCAAATCAACATTGTAACTATTTGAAGCAAAGTTAAGCGTGTACTTTTATGAATTACTTAATGTTGTCACGTCCCACGATTCTCACGAAGACACTCAACTTTAAGGAAGGTAAGCAACAAGGTTCCATTTATCTTATAAGGCATAAAAACGTTATCTAATTACAAGGTAAAGCGTCATACGCCCACTGTATAGAGGGTTGCATCACATCTCCCACGCAGACAGACAGACTTGCCTTTACCTTGAACGTATCAGACTTAGATTTCTATAAAATGATCGTAGGTATTCAGATCCGTTTGATTTGAAAGATATGCAAATATCTGCATGATTTTGTAAATTTCATCATCATTTGTTGGTAAAACTTGCTAGAGATCCATTTTCTTCAAATAGTCCAAATATGTGCCATTCGCGATATATAAGTTTACCAAGATGAACATAAAAATGGACCAAAAGCTGCCGTTAAAACCACAAAAGTTATTTTAGTCAAAACAATTGTATGTGCATACGTCACAACTCACAATTCACTTGACGACCGCGTCCGGCCACGACGCGGGCGACGAGTTGACGTCTCTAATTTGTTACGAGTACCATTCGGGTGATTGTTAACACCAACATTTCCCTCTGTTTTATTTGATATACCAAGGTTTATAAATGTGCCAAAGAAAGGGTGGATAAATGTGTTCGAATTTAATTTTAACTTATTTTATTAGAAGACAGTTTGGCATACAAGTTTCAAATGCGCAACAAAAGTAAAACATCGTTAATATTTACGTCGGTCATGTTTGGTGCGATTTAAAATAGAACTTACCCTGAATTAGACTTGTTCGACAATGACAAACACCTCAATCTCCAAAATATAAACTCTTCTGCATAAAATATATCTTTCCAAAAATATATTTGAATATTCAAAAAGAAAAGTCCCTAAACGAACGCACCCATCATCATTTAAAACGGAACGCACCATATAAATTATGGCGCGAACTTAGCTGTCAGTTTGTGTTCTAATTTAGAAAATGGCGGGTGAAGTGGTTCGGAAACCGTTATTTTTTTCTTACTTCAATGTTATTCTTGGTGCACTTCTTTGTACAAATTCTTTGACGTTTCTACACTTCTGTTTTCATCAAGTCACACTGTTAGTTGACTGACATCTGACGGTGATGTGATACCAAAATTGGACACAAGTTTTACAAGATTCCCCTATGTTTATTACCTTTGTAATAAAGTTCAGTTTTGTTTGTTGCTCTGCAATCCACCTTGCTGATACGGTTTTGTATTCGTTAAGCTATCGACACGCGCTGACGTGGGAATGTAAACATTACACCCAAAATATATCCAGGGATTATTTTCAAGTGTATCCGTAGTAAACTGAACTTGTAGTAAAATTTAGAGAGTAAGGTTAAAGGACTAACAAGAAAATTGCTGTTACTAGAAGTAATATATATCTACTAAATAAACATTTTAAAAACTTTGTCTATTAACACTATTTACTGAAAAACTATTTCTAAGAACTTATTCAGTTAATGCAATATTTCCCCAGCCTTGCGTGACTACCCACAGTTATTTACTTTTAGTAATCTAAGTTAAATTGCTAAGTTTCTTTGATTTATCAACTAACTTGAATGTAGTCATTATTTGTGCCATAACCTTCGCGCCTGGGTTCTTTAGTACCGACTGCAGGGCAATAAAATCAGCAAAAATTTCCAATGATACTCATATAAAACCTTGCAAGTATACATCATTAAGATCTGAATGAGTTAAGCTATTTTCCAAGGTAAAATTCACAGCAGTTATTGACAATTTGGATACATAATGATACTGCAAAATATGCATTTAGGTGTGTACGTGTGTAATCAATCTGTATCATCAGAATCACTTTAAAAATTAACGGAAACATTGCGGTAATTTCTTTCATAAAACAAGCGTCCGTAACAACACAACTCAATATTCATAAGAGCATGGTATTACAAAATTTAAATAATAAGTCTCGATGGTTATCGTCGGTACGCGCGCGCAGCGGAAGCGAGTTCGACGCCCGGCAGCGGAACGTTACCGTGGAATATGTAATGATGTCTAATTAAACGTTATGTAATGGACAATGTGTGATTTTTGTCATTGTTTTGTCTCATTACTGAATTGTTATTTGATACGGAAAATTCGAAGAAAATTTGAAATAATGCTTTTGTGTTTTTAACAAGAAAAGAAGAGAAGAGTTTCGAGTTTCAAAAGACAAAACAGTTGAAGAAAAATCTAAATAGACAACAATCGAAATTAATAACATTAAAGCCATATATAAAACAAACTCAACGGTTCCGATTGCAATAATGATGTAAGCGAAGTAAACAATGATACTTCTTCAACTATAATAAAAATAATTAACAAGAACACTTCACATTTCTTATCTACAAATCAATTGCGTGATCATACTCATACGTCGGAAGAAGATGTAAGATGTAACGGACTCTATTAGAAACAATGCTATGTAATTGTGCCTATTGTATTAGCCACATAGTTTCTTCTAATGATTGTTATCTTAGAAAAATGCGTGCGTTCACATGAACACGTACATGTAATTGTACAGCTATGAAATGAGCAATGTTTATGGAAATTATTAAACCACCATCTTTCACTTAAAGTATGTTTTAATCGTCAATCTTGGAAATGGTTTTAAGGTAGTAATTTTCACTCTCTTGATAATATCGGTATTTATTGACTGCTTTTGCAGATACAATATTATCTTTACACTTTCAGTGTTTTAGTTTATTGCACATATCATATTCATCATTTTCTATTGTATTGTTTAATTCATTTCCTTTTTTGTCTGCGCGTTATCATTTGGGAGGATCATAAATATCTTCATGTGTTTTTATTACAGATGTCTTACTTGAACTTTCTTTTACATTCCATAATTATTCAGCTTCCCACATGAAGCCTACGTCTGTTCCAGCTCTGGCCGTTAGATGAGGTCTATCTCAATCGTATATCAGTTTTACTAGCCGTGT